AATATCTCTAAATGAAGATTGGAATAGAACTAGGGTAATAAAGATTTATTGGGTTTCTACGTTTCTAAATTCTTTCTTCTCTAACCTTCTGTGCGTGAGATTCTCATGTTTCTTCCGGCATGCTTGCGTTTTTGGTTTGCTCGTATGGCATACTTTCACTTCCCAGGTTTTCGAGCTTTATGATAATAAGGCTAACGTTGATGAATTAAACGATCATTAGCAGCAAGGACAATTTAGATATTTTGATTGTTTTTATTTAATCTTGTTAATTCAGTGGCTGTGTTTAGTAATTCAGGCTGTGAATAGAATTACCCTAAAATAGATTAAGTTTCATTTGAATTAGTGTGGGCTTCTGTGGTCTATTGCCAGTTGACATTAAATAAGTGAGTGATTCAACCATCATTATTTCACTTTCTGGATTTTGTTCACGGGCCCAATGGAAGCAGATCGGAACATCTCTAGTGCAACAAAATGCAAAAATGTGCATGATGCATACGTGATATAAGAGATAAACACAAAAAATTAAACGGCCTTCTTTTCTGTCCAATAAATACTTGTGGATATCAGAATATGCTTTAGTTATAGAAATCGTTTATAGTTTTTTAGCAAACTGATAAGATAACAAGTAAATACGGAGTATCAATTAAAGAAGTTATAAAGTGGCACACAATCATTATATTCGTTAGGTAGATCAGATAATTAGTCAAATGCAAAAATAAGAGTTATTTTAATTTTTAAGTTCCATAAATAAGTGTAATTATGTGTTTTTGGACAAAAATATATCTACAAGTGTTTAAATAGGTAGCCACCAACCTACTGCAACCACCTGCTGCCCGTCGCCTGCCACTGGTCACCGGAGCACCACCGGCCTCCAAACTACCATCGCCGGCTGCACAAATTTTTCGTGACCTTAGTTATGCAAGGGATTTATGAGATAATTAATATTAATTAAAGGTAAATTTCCGAAATAGGAGTAAAAACATTTTGGAATTCTAAAATAAAGTTGTCATGTTCCCCCCTAAATATATAGGAGTAATTACGATCAAGATTGGAAAATACTATCATTTTAAAAGTCTGGTAATGTCATAATATGGCAATAATTACGGAGCTCCAATTTAGAAAATAAAAGTAAGACAATTCTATTTTCGAATTCATAGACGTTTTTGCTTCTAAAGATTATGTTTAGTTTTAGTACGAAATAAAAATAATGTTTTATCTGTACTGTTGAGGATCAATTCCGTCTACGTATTCCGGCTCAAGGAGTCCGGAGCTCGATTTTCCGGTTATCTCTTGTGCACAACTAGGCTAAGGGAGCAACACACCTTTCTAGCCTCGCCAACACTCACTTCTACTCACTATCCAGTTCTCACACAAAGGAAACCCAAGGAGGAAGAAGTCTGGTTTAGGTGAAGTATCTCTCTACGCTCCACTGCTTACAACAACGGTGCAGGGGCTATCCTTATAGCATGGTAGTTTTGGTTCTATTACAAGGACACTCAAATAATACACTGCACACACAACTCATCACTAGGCAATAATGAGCTGAATTCAAATTCTAGCGGGAGAGGCAAATATTGATAGGCCAGACAGATAAATGGGTATAGTGTAGTGGGCTGCTAGAAAGTGTGTTAACCATTATTAATATACAAAAAACGTTTGGGCCAACAATATATTAACAATCTCCACCTTTGGCCCAAGGTAGTGCACTTAGACAATCACGGAACCGCGGACTCATCATTGCCGGATCATTACAAGTATAATCTCAAAGACAATACAAGTAATAGAGAGACACAAGTACTCTCGGGGTAAGATCATGAAGCATACCGAGTCCATAAAGGACTTAACTCTATCATAGGGTCCTCAAGTTCAAAACCGAAACCATCACAATGCTATTAACAAACACAAGGTATGTTAATAGCCCACACAAGCAAGCATCCGGGAGAAGTTGGGGATCCCAACTAATCCAACAACCACATAAGGCAAGTACATAGAAAATAAAAGAAACAATATAATTTCTTTAACTAGCAAAGGTAGAGCTCACATTATCACATGGTATCACATTTTCAAAACACAAAGAAAATAGCATACAAAATATCACAAAGATTTTAATTAAAAGAGAATTAAGCACATTTAAAGCAAACTCAGAGGAAATATAGTCAAACACTTTGCACATATCATTTCTCTCATGCTCCCTAATGTCTCTATCTCTAAAAACATGACAATCACACAACTCAAGCATATGGTTCACAACATTCATACCATGCTCCACCTTAATATAAATATTATTTTCTTTATTTTCACCATGAAAAACATTTTCATTCACAAATTTGGATTTGGTTTCAACAAGTAAATCAGAATGAACTTCAAAAGGCAAATGCTCCACCTCATTTGGAGCAACATCAGGAGAAACAAGTAAGCAAGAAAATTCATTTTCAACAAAAATGACATTTCTACTCAGCAACACATTGAAGCAAGTTTCACTCCTACATCAAAGCCTATAACCTTTCATGCATTCATGATATCCTAAGAAAACATATTCCTTAGCCCTAGGTTCAGATTTATCATTCTCACAATTCACATAAGCAGCACAACCAAACTCTCTCAAATTTGGCAAGTTAAGTGGTTCGCCCGTGAACACAGATTCAGGGCATTTCCCTCCTAAGGAAACAGACGGGAACATATTAAGCAAATAAGCAACATAACAAATAGCTTCCCCCAAAACTTTTTAGAGAGCCTAGATGATGCTAACATGTACAATTATGTTTGATAGAAAAGATTATGTTTGGACCGGGACAAAGGTTTTTTTCGGGAAAACCTTTATTCATATTTTCCCAAAACAAATTTTATATGAAATTTTAACCCTAAAGTAATATTTAAGACATTAAATTCGAGTTGAGCCAAGAAACAGGTTCCCCCACTACGCCCGGGCTCATAAGATCACACAATTCACATTTAGACAATTGAGACCAAACTAATTCACACTTTAAACCGAACGTGAAAACTTTTTTTATCATAAAGAAAGTTGTTTATTTTATGTTAAATAATCAGAACTTGAAAAAGTAACAAACGACAAAAAGTCTTTTCCCAATCACTAGCCTTCGAATCAGACAAAAGAATAATCACCTTACAAAAAACAATGAGGGTGTTTGGTTAGGAGCCTATCAGCTTTTTTTGACTGGGTTGACCATATTCAGCCTTTTGACCAGATCAATCAGCTAATAAAAATGTTTGGTTAAATGGCTTTTTCAATTAGCCTTTTGTTCCAAACAGCCAAAAAGTAAAACGCCATTTACCCCATCGTTTAGAATTAGCCGTTTCGTATCTTTCCTTTACTATTGATGTCTTTTCCGTATCTCCTCCTATGCTTGCACAAAACATGATTTCCGCCAAAGAACAAAACTAAAATTCTGCCCACCTATATGTGGCTATATCTTCTTCAACCGAAGAGCAAAAAACCAAGGGAGCAAGCGGCTTTGTTCTATAATTAGCTATCTGATTTCACTCCTTTAAGATTTTTCCGATATACTACTTCACCTCAACTTCTTTTTGTGCTTTGGATATTTGTGTGGAGAGAGATTTCGAGTATTTTCGACTGGGGTTACTTCCTCTCTATCGTGTTTCTCAGCCAACGATCATCTCATAAAAAATCTGATTAATGAATTATTATTAATTAAAGAAATGTGATTTCGACTCGGGTTTCCTGCTCCTTCGTGGAATCTGATAAAAATATCGTTTTATCTCATAAAAAAGTATGGGGAATTGATTATGAATTAAAAAAGCAGACATTTAAATTAATTATTATTTGTGGTAATACATTTAACAATTTAATCATAGAAAGGATATTAAAAGGATTTACGTAGTTTACTAATATCATTAATAAAAAAAATTAATTGATGTTCGGAAAGGTCATTTAATAAATTATCAATTGAATATAAACAACCATTTAACCAAACACCGATTTACAAACTGCTAATACTATCAATTACTTAAAACAACCAACAGAATCCGTTATCAATCAGCCAAAACAATCGGCTAACAGTAACAGCCAATAGCCCATAGCTGATTGCCAAACACCCTCAATATGTACTCGCTGATCCTATAATGGGTATAACTGAGCCAAAGACGATCAAAATAGATTTTCCATCACACGACCCAAACTCCAGGGACTGACAGAAGTATAAAACAAACACACTACCAACATAACATCCTCATCAACACAAAAAACTAAAAAAAAGCTAAAACTAAACTAGTAGAGGTAAACATATTGCCTAGAATCACGAGAATTTTGGTCTTTCCAAACCCTAGCCACGCGGTTACTCCGAGGTGGCGGTTCAGGAGGGGGCATACCCCGGCTTTGCGGCTACCCTCAAACCAAGAACCAGTCAACCAGTGGACTCAAATATTTCAATTACTCACAAAGCTAAACACTGATCGCACAATCCAACCATGTCTCGTTGCGAGCGAGAGACACCGATCTCCATGGTTCCCCCTTACCAATTCCAAACTGTACAAGACAACCACCGAGCAACAAACTTAACATAACGTTGACCAAAGAAAACTAAAGTCGCACACTTAAAGCGGCGGAAGAAAAACCCTAAGCAAAAGTCGTTAGGGAATCAAAGTTAAAACATATATACGTCCTACTTGCCTCAAAATAAATGCTTGTTTCAATAAAATAGGTAGAAGTTAAAATTCGTGTAATTCAAGCTGGAGTAGCTCAAGCAAATCAATTAATTATTTAGCTAAATCATAATGTTTACAAACAAATGGTACTACCTCCGTCTCAAATTGATTTGCAAATTTGACTTTTCTTGGTGAAACAACTTCATTTTATTTGCTTAATTAGGATGTCAATTTGTAATTATATTCTAATTCGGGATTTGCGACTTTGATGAGTTTTTAATGTAGTTTCTGAATATGTAAATTTTAATTATTAAAAATTGAATTAATTATCGATACGGAGCATTGACTTTTACTATTGATTGACCAAAAAATGTTGACTTTGCAAAACAATTTAAAATGGAGAGAGTACAATATACGAAAAAAATGCAAGTGATTCTTAACGAATTAAATAAAAAACAGAACTTACAACTCACACCACTCAATAACATACTAAATTTAATCAAGTTGCAACCTACATTATTATATATTGTAGGAGACGATATAGATACTATCATACTATACGATGATACAATATTTTTACTCAACTCGATTCTCCTTGTTGTATCCATGTATATGTCGGAGCAGTGAAAATTAAACCCAGCAGCTTAATTAGTTATTCTGAGCATTACTATAATTATCATTATCATGCAACATTGTTCTTGGCCTCTTACAGCCTTCCGTACTGCCGGATCCATATGCACTGCGATTCACCACAGTCTTCAAAGCATTTCGGAGAAACAATATGGACTCATCCGCACTAGTGTGTTCGTTACAATCTCTGGAGAGGATCAGAACGTTGTTGATCCTCCCCCCGAGAGTCGCCATCTCGGCCCGCAACGGACTGAGATGGAGAGATTTGAGAGTGTGGATCAGATCGGGGAAAAGGTCCAGACGGTCTTCGCAACAAAAGGAGGCCTTGATTATCAATCTTCCACTATCTCCGGTGGAGAATTCTTCTCCATTGTCTCTGGAGAGTGTTATCTCATCGTTCTCCGATGGAAGGAGGCCGATTTCGGTTTGCATGAGTTGAGATGCCTCCTCTTTGAGCTCCCTCAGCCGTGAAACCACTTTCGCTAGTAATGAAGCTTTATCTGTCTGTTTGTTTACCCATATATGGAGAAAACGCACACATCAAAGAACGAGTATAAAGCAAGAGTACAAACAACTATTCACTTCTCATTTAATTTTGAGCACTAATATTTTCTTATCATATTCAAATTCATCTCTTGTGATTCAATAAAACATTTAGAACCCATTTGATGACCCCTTTTTCGGCTTATCAAACTTATCAATCAGTTTTTTCACCAAACACGTAACTTTTGATTTCACGCGCTTAAGTTTTGTAATAAGTACAAAAAGTAAGGTTGGAGTTACTTTGTAAGGTGGATAAAATCATTTGACGACCTTCCCAATGGTCTACTTATTACAAAAATCATTTGACGACCTTCCCAATGGAATATTTAGCTGAAATTATTTGTGGATAAACTAGACTTAATGAAGAACATGTCATAAAAATTTGTAAGGTGGATAAAATCATTTGACGACCTTCCCAATGGTCTACTTATTACAAGACTTAAGTTTTGTAATAAGTAGAAAAAGTAAGGTTGGAGTTACTTTTCTGGCTATTTTGGTTCAAGTTACCGTAGATGATCATTTTAGCTATTTTTTCATATAATTTATTATTTAATTTAATAATAACAAATATTTTAAATATAATTTTTTCATTAATAAGCATAATAAGCCAATACAGCAACTTCAGCCAGAGCTTCATAAATTTCAGCAGAATCATCCAATTAATCTAATTTTAATGTTACCAAACGGACTCTTAATTTAGTTTCTAACTACGTATGTAGTATAAAGTTTCATCATTTTAATACACTCATTCTTCAAACTCCATAATCAACAATGGGACTCATTTCACTACAAAGTATAGCTTTTGTAGCATATGCAAAATATTGTAATAGGTGCCAAAAGTGTCACAATAAATCAAATGTAGCATTTTTTAGTATGTTGCATCCGAATGGTGCCTACAATAGATATATTGTAGCACTTTATCATTTTATTGTAGCATTTCTTGGTACAATAATGTTACAATAGATATTATATTATAGTTATTCTTACGATGCTACAAAATGAATGCTAGAATAGACACTTTTTGTACTAGAATTTGATTTGAATGCAAGGAGTACATAGCACACAATAAATAAATAATGCTTGAACTACTTTTTGGAATTAAAATTTCGTATTTAGTATGTTGTACTTTAAGATGTGGTTCGTGTGGTGATGATGACTTAACAAGCCCGCAAAATAGTAGCTTGATGGACTTCATCAATCTTGGAGTCCATGTGCTTCTTTGAGGTTTCACAAAATCCAACTAATTCTTGTATATACAATTTTAGTCGTGTAATTTGTTGTTGTTATCGTTATTGGTTCTGTAACTTTAACCACTTGTAAATTTGGTCCTGTAACTAATAAATCTTTGCAATTTAAGGACTTTTCACCCGACGCCAACGACTTCTTTTCCGGTATACTATCACCGAAAAGTGTACTTGGGGGGGGGGGGGGGGGAGGGATCCTTAAATCGCAAATATTAATTAGTTACATGATCAAATTTACAAGTGACTAAAGTTACGGGACCGACAATGAAAACGTCTCAAAGTTACGGAACAAAATAGCAAATTTCCATAATCTTAATTGACTATAATAAGTACCATTTTAAAAGCCCGTTTGGTAACACTGAAATTGACTGAATCGGTTGATTCTGTTAAAATTTATGAAGTTCAGGTTGAAGTGGCTGGATGGGCTGATACTACTGATTTATTAAAACATTATATTTAAAATATTTTTTATTAATTAAATAAATAAATAAAGAAATAATTATATGAAAAATAGCTAAAAGATCATCTACAGTAACTTCAACCAATACAGCCAGAAAATTAACTTCATCCTTAGTTTTTAATATTATTACACAAATCAGCGTGTGGAGTCAAAAGTTACATGTTTGGTGAAAAGTTAGTTGATAAACCTCATAAACCGAAAAACATGATCACCAAACAAGGTCCCAACTCTAAAATTTAACAGGGAAAGAAATTTATTGGTTTGTGTTTTTTGAAATTTGCATTTTTTTTAAATTTAACAGGGAATGAGTATTCCAAAACTTTATCCGTAGTATATTGGTTTGTGTTTTTATATTGATTGATGAGTTTAACAATTCATTAGCCAAAAGTAGATTGAAACATACTTAAATCATTATCCGTAGTAATAAACTTATGCATGTGAGATTGTAGCAGTATAAAATATTTTAAATCAAGATATGTGTGTGTATAAAATCATGAGAAAATAATCAAAACCTTGAGTTGAAATATAAATATGAAATATGAAAAACCATAATTATTGCACATTACGGGTTATTTTACTATAATACTACTATACAACAAATGATTGAATATTTGAGTTATGATTGGTGGGGGAAAGCATGTTTTGAAAATTATGATTATGTTGTGAAAGTAGACACGGAGGGTAAAAGATAGATAGATAGCCTTCTCACTAAGATCTTGTTTGATAAGATCTCGGCTTATCAGGTTTATCAAAAAACTTTTTAATCAAACACATAAATTTTGATTTCGCGCACTGAGATGTGTAATAATAAGAAAAAGTTAGGTTAAAATTACTTTTCGGACTGTATCGGCTGAATTTATTGTAGATGATGACCATTTTAGCTATTTTAACATTTATTTGTTTTCTTTGTTTTATTAATAAAATATATTTTAAATTTATTTTTTTCATAAATCAGCAGAATGAGCTAATACAGTCATTTCAGCCAGAACTTCATAAATTTAAGGAGAATCTGCCGATTCAGCCGATTTCGATGTTACCAAATGGGCTGTTATTAATTAACGATTTCAACTTATCAAATGTTGTTGCTTGTCCAGAAATTGCAATATAGAAAGGTGTGAAATGCGAGTCAATGTTTATGAGCAAATAATTATAAATACAATTGAAAAGTAAAAAGATACATAAAACACATAAACCTTTAAATTTATGTGCACATCTTTTCCATACCATCAAAATATGAATCAATAAATTATAGTAGAAAGATATCGAGCTACTATTTAGGATGTAGTCCGAGACTCCGAGTCTTAAATGTATAAAAATCAAACACATATTTTGTGATGAAAAGTTCAATTTGTACAAACTTGACACGCATTTGTACGCAATTGTTTGTGCATGCAGACAATGTGTATAGCCCTAGTTTACTTGTGTGAACAGACATCGTATGCAATAATTCTCTGTACATAGACAATTATATATAAATGTGTACAAATTTTTGTGTACACCCAGAATTGTTGTTTGTGTGTATATTTGACAACATTACATTAGGACCTTCCCTCACATGCTTTTGTGTGATGTGTGTGTTAATGCTCAACTTTAGTGTATAGATAGCATTATTGTTCAATCAACAGGGACTCAAAGATCAATCAAGTTGCATAAAACTAAACTTATCGTTTCAACCCAGGGGAGGTTCGAATGCCGTAAAACAAGGTAATGTGGGGACACTACAACAATGAGTACATTCAAATCACCAAACTATATATGGTGTATAAAGTTTGTTGTATAAAGATTTAACGCATTCCTCCCTCCATCTATCTATAATTATCTCATTTTTTTCATTTTTTATGTCCCCTATAATTGTCTCATACTATATTTGGTAATATTTGTGTGACTCTAATTCATTCCTACTTTATTCTCACTTTATCAACACATTATCAACCACATAATTCTACTTTTCTTAAAAACTACATCCTACTTGATTTTGTTTAACCTTAGTAAAATTAAATTCGCTAATTTGTAAGCTTGGACTATTTATCACTATACAAAATATGTAATTTTGTAGTGCAAATAATACAAAAAATTAGTGACTTTTTTACATTGCAATGCATATGTTATTACTTTCCTGAAACAATCTTAAATATATAGTAAAATTTCGAAATAATATACCGAAATAACAATATTAAATTGTGATATACGAATAATAAAAAGGGAGAATTGGACACAAGTAGATTTTTTTTTTCAATTTAAAATTTATTATTTTTTTTTTAAATTTGTTTTATCTATTTAAAGTCAATAAGAGTAAATTTGCTCCTTTATATGAACATGAGGGGTATTTATATATCTTTTAAAAGTTAAGGGGTATATATAGGGGTGAGCAAATAACCGATTTAACCGACCTGACCGAAAACCGATGACCGAACCGACCGAAAAAATCGGTTTTCGGTCGGTTTTCGGTTATAATAAAATAAAAAGAATCGGTTATTCGGCTATTCGGTTTTTATTCGGTTATATTTATCGGTTATCGGTCGGTCACCGATAACCGTCCAAAATATATAAGTATATATACTCCATAGTAGAGTAGTCTTCCTGTCCGGAATTCCGGATAGGAACCGCCGTCCGGCCGACGGATTTTGGGGCTCTTCCCCGTGGAGTTTTTTGATGAAATTTTTATGACATGTTCTTCATTAAGTCTAGTTTATCCACAAATAATTTCAGCTAAATATTCCATTGGGAAGGTCGTCAAATGATTTTTGGAAGTTAACTGCGCTAAAAAACACATATAAAACGCAGTAACCTTCCAAAAATCATTTGACGAGCTTCCCGATGAAATTGTTTGCTCAAATTTGGTATGGATGAACTAGACTTGATGAAGAACATGACATAAAAATTTCATCAAAAAACTCCACCGGCCGATTATGGTCGGTTATGGTCGGTTACCGACCGAAACCGAATGACATTTTTCGGTCGGTTTTTGTAATGTTGTCGGTCGGTTTTCGGTCGGTTATTTGAGTAAAAAATATTGGTCAGTTATTCGGTTATCGGTCGGTTTTTTGACCGACCGACCGAATGCTCACCCCTAGGTATATATGCACTTTCACATAAATTTCATGGATATATTTGTTCCAAAAAATAGAATAGAACATATAGTTGTTCTGACACTCATAATACAAGCGTACATTTGTATCTTTTCCCGTAAATAAAATATAATCAAAATAGAACATGTGAATAGTGTAAAGTTCACCAATGTTGTAACCAAAAAGAACGGATGTAGTATTTAGTAACATGAATGGAAAAGGATAAAATAAAAAACCTGAGAGGGGAGGAGAAATAAGTAACCTTTTAACATAAAAATATATAAATATTGGAAATTATACATGTTCTTTTGTAAGAGCTTTTTTGTACAAAAGAAAACGCCTCATTGGTAATTAAAATTGGATTAATCATCGGACATGTCTACTAAAATTACAGATCAAGTTGCATGAATCGGTGAATTATAACAAAATTGTGTTTAAAAAATATTTTATTAAAAAACATGATATGCAAAATATTAAATACTCCCTCCGTCCCTAAATAAAAATATCTGTTTCCTTTTCGGGCCGTCCCTAAATAAAAGTTCTCTTTCCCTTTTTGGCAAACAAAACAGTGCAAAACAGTGCAAAACAGTGTCAAACAGTGTCCAAACAGTACCAACCAAACTCACTTTCTTAAGATGTGTGTAAAATGAATGGATACTTTTATATAGGGACGGAGGGAGTATTATCTTTAGCAATTTAATTCAGAAAACTAACTTTTAATTATAATTCCATGTTAGAATAATGCTACCCCGTTCCACTAACATAAGGTCACGAGAGTGTGATAAAGTAAGGACTATGTAAGAATGATTTAGAACCACACAAATTTTATGAAATTTGATATGAGATGATCTTAGTGGGACGGATAATAAAGACAGATGAGATAATTTTAGCGGGACGTAGTAAGTAGATCTTAATTGATTACTTACTTTTATTACTATGATCTGTGTCCCGGTAAGATTAGGATAAGAGGTTGTAATGTGATAATTAAAACCGTAAAGTTATGAGTTTTGTATTGAATTGGTAAAATAAAAACAAAAAAAATGAGAAATTGTTCTAAATAGAACTAAAAATGATTGTGTATTCTAAAAAATGACTACCATATTTTTATTCACTAAATATGAGTAATTGCAGTCATGTTTTGGCAATACTAGATTTTAAACATGTTTTGACAATACTATACTTTAGACAAATTTAGGGAGGTGGACTAGAAGCTTAAAATAGAACTAAGATAGACGAATATATTGCAAAATATACATTACTACTCTTTTTGTCTCATAAAAAACTTTATCATCTTCACTTAAGTTAAAACATAGTGTTTACAACAGTTTTACGTGCGTGGGCACAACAACCGTGATAAAAACATAGGCCACGGTAAAAAACTGTCGTCTCTAAGCTAATTACCACATTTTTATATGTGGTAAATAAAATCAAATGTAGTTAATGGAGTTTTCAACGATGGTTATGTTGCCATACCATCGCAATAAAAATTGCATTGATGTGCACTTTTCTTGTATTGCATATGTTATTTTCACATTGACAAATTTAAGTGGCCAAGAGAACAATAAGATGGAAATTGTGTGAATTTGGTTGATGTAGATGAGAGAGGAGTAATAGGTATCATAAACTAATTACTTCAAAGGAAAAGTAACAGCATTTTTTAGAAAATAAAAAAATGGAAAAATAGAAAAGGAATGAAAACATACCTATAATTGATGGCGGGATTAATGAAAAAATTATTAAAGTTATTACTCCTAATCCCAGACAATGTTATCAAAAAGCACTAATTTAAATATTGGATTAGTTAAAAGCATCTTTAATGCTACAATGTGCACGGTCCACATGTGACATGTGGCATGTGAGATAACCACATAAATCTTAGTAAATAAATCATCTATCTCCTTATTTAAATGATTTTTTACAATATTGGTAAGTTTTTCCCTGCAATGTCAAGAAGATCGTCTAGATGTAGACATTGTAGTTAACATTGTTAAAAAATTTATCAAAATTGAATAAAGTCATTCAAATAAGGAGAGAGATAATTTATTTATCAATTTTTATCTGGTCATCTTTCATACGACATGTGCTCCTTGATAAATTAGTTGATGAGAGTCGTATAGACTATATACTCCGTAGCATTTGGTTCGATTCACATTCGGCTATGTAGTTATTGGGATCGAAGTTCGAATTTGACTTCATTCATCGTTCCAAAACCCTACGAAGAATTGAAGATCGAACTATAAACGATTGGTGGTCCAGATATTTATTACGGAGTACAAAGAAGATTACCTCACGACTGATATGACAGGCGACATTCTCGACAAGACTGTGTTCGTTCAGTCCAATCTGGGACGCGTCATGTGATGGGATTTTGCCATATTCAATCATCCATTTTCGGAAATTAAAATTATGGGATTTGTATATAAAGCCCTTCAAATTTCACTTCATTTCCCCCCTAAAGAACCCATTTCAAGAACAAGATATAGAAACAGAATCTGTATATATGTATAGATACGTACTCTGGAATTGCAGGGAAGAAGAGCTCTGAGGGAATCCAGATGGGAGTTGATCCTCTGTCTGCGTCTTCTCTCTGCTTCCCTGTGATTCTTGGAAGCTTCCAGGGCCCGAGATTCTGGGGTGCTGCCGGAAGATACCTTTTCAGCACAAAACGCCAATCCACTATGGCAAAAGCTCATCTTGTCTTCTTGAATTCTACTTGCGGCGGCGGCGGCCGGGCACGGTGGGATTTCGAAGAAGCCAGCGGTTGATGAAGAGATTAGTCCGTAGTTTTTGTTAAGGTGGTCTGGGTAATTATTGTTAATGTTGTTGAACCAGTCAAAGCTCGCCGGCGTGTTTTCCGGCTGCATGTTTCGATGTCTGCAGGCGGCGCCGCTGGGCTCTGAAAAGTGCGAGACTTTCGGTGGAATCCGAAGAGTGTTTTGTCTAGGGTTACGTCGGCGTGCTTTGCTTTATTTATTTAACTCTTTCTTGCTGGGTGTAGTGGACTAGTTCGTTGTCACATGAAAGCGATAATTAAACAGCTAATTAATCCAAATTAAGCACTGCTTTCAAATAATTATTACTCCGTATATCTTTTTGCTTGTATATTTATGTAATATACGATAGTATAATTATTGTTATTCTTCTTTAAATCGTATACTCTCTCCGTCCCTAATAACTTTGCCATGTTTGACCGGCACGGGAAATAATAAAGTAAAAATTATGTGATTGAGGTTTGTGCAGGGGAGAGAGAGAATGAACTTGAACCACAAATTTTTTACTTAAAATGGAAAGTGGCAAAGTTAATGGGACATCCAAAAAAGGAAAGTTGGCAAAGTTTTAAGAGACGGAGCGAGTATTAATTAATTACACTTTTTGGGTTTTATAATTAAGTTACATATTGCTCCGTATTAAAGATGAGATATACTCCCTCCCTTCATAATCTTTGACACACTTTCCTTTTTTGGTTGTTTCACAATCAATGACACACTTCCTTATTTCCTTATTTGGTAAATAAATCTTTACCAAAACAGTGCAAAACAGTGTCAAACGGTGCCAAACAGTGTTCAAACAATGCCAAACGGTGTACTCTACAGTAAAATTTACCTCTGAGTAACATTTTTTCCTTAATTCTTGACAAGTCAAACTGTGTCAAAGATTGTGAAACGGAGTGAGTACTAAGTATAAGGATGTTTTTACTTGGACGGTAATTTGTTGGTCTGGTCTGGTCTAGTCTGAACTGGTCTGGTCTGGTTTCTTTGTATTTTTATAACTATATATATCCAAGGCTGGTCTGGTCTGGTCTGGTCTGATCTGATCTAAAAGGAATTACAGTCCAAGTAAAAACATCCTAAGAACATGATAAAAACGGATGACCACTCATTCTTGAGGATTGTCCGCACCGGCCGGACTTCAAACATCCTCTTCTTCCTCTTCTTATTCTTCTGTTTGTTCTTCACTGCCTCACGGATTTCACAATGGTGAACCGTTGATTTCTAGCGGCAATGAAAGTGAGAAAACAAATCTCAGAGAAAAAATGGTGACTACAATGAAGGCAACACATCTCAAACAACTATATATGGTGTCTGAGAGCTGGAGTTCAGTGGCGGTGATGATGACAATGTTCCCAAAGGAGGCTAGGGTTGGTTGGGCTTGTAATGGAAAAGGGGAAGTGATATGTAGTGGCGGGAGGTGCGCAAGGTGGGGGAACTTGTGGCGGGAGGAGGAGGGGCTGGAGGAAGTGGTGAGGGTTGGAGCGGGGGAAGGGGTAGTGGGAGGGGGTTGAGTAAAGGGGGAGAGGTGTGGTAGTGAGGGAAGTTGCAGAACACTGACTTCATAGGACATCGGAGGTACATAGCGAGTTACTAGGCATCGAGGCAGTCATTAGGCACAAGGGTAGGGTAGGAGTCGCTAGAGGCTAGCAGTATTTCACTAAAGTCACTAGGGTGGTGAGGTCAGTGTAGGAGCGGATCACTAGGTGTGATGGTCGATCACTGGGCGTCGAAGTCACTGGGCACTATTCACTACCATCAGAGTCCCTCGATGTAAAATTATATTACTTCCTCTGTCTCAAAAAAATCTTCCCACTTTCCTTTTTGGGTTGTCCCAAAAAATTCTTCCCACATACTAAAAATGGAAAGTTTCCCCACCTAAAAAACCCCTTTTACCCTTCCTAAACATTTACCCTCCCACTTCCGTGACTCCCCACCCCCTATACCCTCTGCGCCCCATCACATCTTACCCTAATCGATCCATCTCTCTCTCTCTCTCTCTCTCTCTCTCAGTTTCGATCCATCTCCCTCTCTCTCTCTATCGATCTCCATTGTTGCTTGGAATAAAACTCTCTCCTTCTCTGATTTCAAATCCACTTTAACCCTAGCTCCTTCTTCGATCTAATCATTGCTCCTTTTCTGAAATTCCCACATCTAACTTCCATGGATGCAAAATCAAGCCCCCAACCCTTCGTCAAGATCCAGTGGAATATAATCAATGCATGCAGGACCTTCTAGTTCCAGATAGCGAAGAGGAGTCAGACGAGGTAAATAGTGAAGATCCATTGGAGCTTGTGGTTTTGGACAGTGAAGAAGAGTTGGATGACGAACATCGTCAAATTCCTATGGAGGCTATGATACCGGACAGTGAAGAGCAGAGGGAGATGGATGACCACCAGGAGGTTCCAGAGTCTACAGCCGATAGAAGACGGAGAGAGGTGCAAATGCACCCTCTTCGCAATGCCCGTCTGGAAGCCTTCTTAAAAATCATTATATCTGGCTGGGAGTCTAGGATGTGGGACATCAACACATAATAGGGGAGTTTCTATCTTAACCTATCTTCCCGTGTCATTATGTTTGACTAATTTAACTTCGTTGCATGAATGTTAATCTTCTTGTGTGAAAGTGTTTGAAATTGGGGCAACAATGATGAGAATATGGTGTGTTTAGGACTGAAATTGTTGGTTGTCACCTGTGATGAATCTTTGAGGATGCTTTGGATGTTATGTATGTGTGGTTGGAATGTCAGGCTGCTATGATCACCATCCCATGTGTAAGCAATGATAGTGGCAGGCTGCTATGATGACCATTTCTGGTCTGAGCAAGCATTAACCCAAGTCTAAATGTTGACCATCCAAGGTCTGAGCAAGGCTTGTGGCAGGCTGCTATGATTTCCCACTCACTTTGTACTAACATCTATAACATCCCCTTTTTGAAGTTTCTCCTTGGTTGTGTTCCAAATGCTGAAAATAGTTCTTCTAGTGACTGAGTATTTAGTGGCTAGCTTACTAAACACACCTTTCTGAGTTAGTAATGCCCCAGAATAATCTCTTTTAGAAGTGATTAGGATTTCATCAACTATGCTCTCTCTTTCCTTTTCCCCTAATCTCTTACCTATGATATTTGAGCTTGGGTCTTCTGTTGTTGTTTGCAGATCTGCAAAGCAGTTAATGAAGATGAAGTCAGACCTTCATTTATGGAAGCTGCAGAAGGGGAAGAAGAAGACTGTGCAACATTTATGTTGAGCATTTATGTTGGCTGCCATAAATGTAATTCGTAGTGTAGTGTGTAGTGTGTGATGTGTGTATTAAAGACTTGGTGTTTTTAGAAAGTGTATTTATAGAAGGAAAAAAGGGAGGGAACTTTTGAAGGGAACTTTTCAACTTAGGGTTTCCAAAACAGTGTATATGTGTACTGTATAATACACTGCCGTAGCCCGCAGGGAATTATCCCTTCTTCCTCCATCTATCACATCAACTTTATTTCTTTTAGACATGCAGTAATTTTTTTTACCCCATTCCCCTTCATCCGCCACTTTATTAGCTATAGGGGTATACATGGAAAATCAATGGAATTTATCACTTCCCTAAAACTCTGATCCCGATCAAACTGGGAAGAACTTTCCGGGACGGAGGGAGTAGTAAATAAGGATATAATAGTCACGTTATTCTATTTTTGGAAATTTTTTCAAATAGTCAAACTTTCGTCCTTAGTTTTTCCATTAATATTATTTTTCTCAAAACCTCGAGTACATCGAACGTAATGGTGATCATGGTTGCAATACGCGCTTTGTACGTCCTAATAGTGTAGGTTTATTAGTTGAAATTAAATAATGATTCTATATTTCTATTCGATGGAGTATATTCTCACATACTCCATGAGTCCAGACAAGAAGATCCAAGATAACAGTCGAAGTCATTTACTTAACGGGCCAAGGCTGCAGGTTGAGCCCGAGATCTCATCATAATTCAACCCAACTCCATGCTGGCAGACCCACTCCACTATGGATCGAGCTAACCCAGTGAGGCCGACCTTGATGACTATCACTATGGGTCTTGCACTGACGTTACCAGATGAGACCGAGTGCGCCTACCCCTCCTCGGCTCGGTTATGGTTTTGGTCGTAGCCATTCCCCGGGCGTTCCTGATATTTGTATTTGCAGGGCTTATGTCATTATCGATTTCGCTAACGTCACAACCCCATATTTTGAAGGGTTGATCACTAGTAAAATCACCAGACTGATTTAAAGGCTCACGTTATCCCGACCACCACATTAGTGTGACATCAACTGGCGTGTTCCCCAAGTATTTCTCGGACACGTATACCTTCTCATTACCTTAGTATTTTGGTCTTAAGGCTCTGCCCTTACTTTGCCTATAAACACTTTCCCTCTTCAGTAAAGGTACACAAATTCTTGTATTGTTATTTTGTCAAATTTATTAAATAGCTTAATCGCTCTAGATTTGCTTCAACTTCTCTCTAGTTTACTACTATCCCCGGGTTCCTATACGCATTACTACTCTTTGGGGTGTTTGGTCATTGATGGTTACAGATAGCAGATTGTAATATTGTACTTTCTTTGTCCCTTATAACATTGTCACCTTTCCTTTTCTAAATGTCACAAAAACTTTTTCACTTTCTCTCTTAACCAATTAATTAGTGGTTTCTATTATTTCTTTCATCTAAACAAATTTTTACCACACAGTTTTACTTTATTATTGTTGGGCTTCGGCCTGCATCTTCCTAAATCGGCATGTGGTGCTTCGCCTGGCTATAAGGTGGAAAGGTGTGCTACACTATTAACAATTGCTTTTGATGTAGCGATCCGTGTTTCGATATCAGAGATAAGGTCACGGGTTCGAAACCCATGATGTGCATTTGCACAACCAAAGCGCTTGAAAGTGCCTAAGGATTACTCACTGCAAAAAAATACGGGATTGACATCGAATCTGGCAAGAACTTACCGATTTTTCATGCCAAATAGCTCGTGCCAAAGTGTTTTTGGCACGGATTTGGCATTTCCCTGCCAAATCACTGCCAAAATCTCTGCCTATCCCATGGTTTTTTTGTAGTGACTATGCATCCATGTGTGGTGGCAGATGTTGGGGGAATTGTTGGACTTCAGTGATCATCTTCTTAAATCGACACGTAGTGTTTCGCTTGTTTAAAAGGGTGGAAAGACATGTGACACTATCATTAATTGCTTTTAGTGTTATGGTCAACACTTTGATTCTATAATTATATTCTCTGCCAGTCAAACTTGGCAATGTTTTGAGGGAAGAAGGGAGTACTGGCGTGATACTGCTCCCAAATTGAAC